TAAAAAAAAAGTTAATATAATAAGTATATTCAAATAGTTTAATTAATCGTTCGGGTATTCGTGATCACCCTCTGTATATTGATAGTATGCAGTTCATGAATAGTAGCTTGGTCAAACTTATGAAGAATTTGGATGATAACCACCCAATTACAACCGAGTATTTCAAGAAGCAAGGCTATACAACTAAACAGATTTCTCTAGCATATCATAAGAGAGTCTTTTCTCATGAGTATATTACTTTTCATGACTGATTTAAGGAAACAAAATTACCTCCAATTTATGAATTTCATAGTATCCTCAGAGGTAAGATTTCTTAAGAGGATTATGATTATGCCCAAAAGGTATGGAAGGAATTTGAATGCAAAAACTTGAAAAAATATAATGATCTCTATCTCAAGATAGACATGCTTAGTCTAATAGATGTCTGGACAGAATTTTGAAAAATGTCTATGGAATATTATGAGCTTGATCCCAGTCACTATGTTTTCGCTCCATCACTATCCTAGGATGGAATGCTTAAGATGACAGGAGTTAGGATAGAACTTTTCACAGATATGGCCATGCATAATTTTACTGAAAAAGCTAAACGTGGTGATATATCTATAGTCTGTCAATGATATTTTAAGGCCAATAATCCTAAGATGGGAAAGGAATTTAATCCATTTAAGCCCACATTCTGGATTTCATATGTAGATGTAACAAATCTTTATGGACATTCTATGAGCTAATGTTTGCCTATTAGAAATTATCAATAGAAAGCTAGTCAGGAATATTTACTAAAAAATCCAGCTATGCAGAAAAAATATCTTGAAAAGATTCTCAATACATGATCTGATGCTAAACAAGAGTATTTCTTAAATATTAATGCTCATTTTTTTTTAAAGACTCATGAATATTTAAAAGACTTGCCTCCAGCCGTGAAGAATGTTGTTATAGAAAAGGATTGGTTATGTCTATATAATGCTAAACTTGTAAAATAATTAAATGGTGAACGCTTCTCTGCTACAGAAAAATTAGTCTCCTATCTTGGATCACGAAAGAACTATGTAATCCATTACCAAGAGCTCCAATATTATGTAAAATTAGGTATAGTTGTAGATGAAGTTTCAGAGATACTCTTTTTCGACCAGACTAACTGGCTCGAACTATATATAACTTTTAATACTGAAAAACATAATGAGGCTAAAAAAGTTGGAAATACATTCTTGAGTGACCTTTTCAAATTTATGAATGTATCAGTATATAGCAAGACTATGGAAAATGTTCGCAAGTACTAGGATGTCAAGATTATAAAAAATAATAATGAGCAAGATAAAAAAGCTTTCTTGAAAAAAGTCCGCAAGCTCTCATTCAAATATGCTAGGCAACTTAGAAATACACTTATAGGAGCGCATATGGAAAAGGCCAGTGTAACTCTTAACAAGCCTATCATAGTTGGAGTATCTGTTTTGGGACTTAGCAAGCTTCACATGTACAAATTCTGGTATGGATATATGAAAGAAAGATATGATGATAAAGTAAAGCTTAGCTATATAGATACAGATTCGTATATATATCATGTTGAGATTGAAGATGTTTATAAAGATATAGATGAGCAACCAGATCTCTTTAATCTTAATAGAGATCAAACTGTTAGCAAATATAAGGATGAGACTCTAAGTAATACAATTTCATTATCCACGCATATCCGAGCAAAATTATATTATTATGTTTTAGCGGAACGTGAGCTTGATGGCAAGACCACAAACTCCAAGCATAAGGGGGTTAGCAAAAAAGGTATATGCAAGATGGCAACTGATACTTATTTTCCATCTTTAGGTAGAACATTGCTTAATGACCCTATAGATAAAGCTAAAATATTTGATTCCATAACCCAAGTCTATCTAGACTGTCTCTTTGGTAAAGAAGTGTTCTATGCAAAAAATGTGAGTATCTGATCAAAAGATCATGTATTATCTCTGGTTGAATCTGAGAAGAAGGCCCTCTGTCCTATAGATACTAAGCGTTAGATATTATCAGATGGAATAACTACTTTACCATATAGGCATTAGCGTAATATGATTTATAAGAATATAGTCAAAGATGGTATCTCCTATAAAGAGGCTGAAAAAAGAGCTATAAGGACTAAGCTCCTAGAAAAATATCAAAACGAATGTGTGTCTCACATATCCAGCTACCAGTAATAGCTAGATAGTGATGAGTAGTCAAATCGTATACATTATTATATTATTTTTTTTTTCTGATGTGATAAATATTCAGTTGTAGAAAAGATGATAGCTGAACATTTTATTATTCGATTCTAAGAGAAGGGTTAGATGACAAATACCCTTTCCTGCAGTTTAATAGAATAAGGAGAAATAATATTTTTTTAATTAAAGATATAGGCTCATATAGTAAAGTATAGGATTTAATATCAATTTGCACAATATGGAAAGTTTAGATAAAATTATAGAAAATGCAAATAAAAATATTAAAAAGGTGTTTCTAGCAGAGGTTGCATCTGAATTTCAACAAGAAGCCTACATAATTAGTCTTAAATTAACATTAGATAGATTAGCACAGGAGCTAGAGTTTGCGCAAAAAGATGATTGTTTTTTTAAGCCAAGCAGTCCAGAGCAGTGATCATCGCTCAGAAAAATAAAACATTTTCTGCACCTTTTTTCCTATGACTATTTTTCGACAGAAGCATCTTCAGCTGAAATTTTAAAGTTGGTGTATAGAAATAATCAGAAAACTTTTCTCCTGAAGATCTTTGATCGAAATAGGGATTACCATATTTATCTCAGGGCTTTCATATTTTATGACGATCGTAGCCTTAACTGGAGGTATAGTAGTCTTATTTTTATGACATATCTTTTCATCATTGGTCCTGATTTATTTGTGATCTTCATTCTGTGATGCTCATTTCTGAGATGCTTATTTCTGAGACATTCATTTTTAAGATAAATTCTCAGGATAAGGCTAATTTCGTTTTAGTCTTGATATATGAAAAATATTTATGTAGGGGAAAAGGGCAAGAAATCTTTATGATTTAACAGTATAACTAGCGAAATACCAGTAAGTCCTTCAGAAATCTATGCGGATAATACAGAGGTTTTTCAACTTAAAATACTTTCGTTAAATTTTCTAAGAAACACTTCTGAAATAACTGATGAACATATTCTGAAACTTAATCCTTGCCACTTCTGCAATGAAGGAATTTTTGCCTTACCACTTCATTCATTCACAGTATTATCATATAGACATATATACCATCGAATATGTCTTGAAAAACATATTATATGATCAGAAACGCATTTTCCTTTATGCCCTATTTCTAGTTGTATATTACCTATCGAACTTGTTAATGAGAAACTTATACTAGCTTCTGGTAAATATCACATGGTATCTAAGGATAAGGATTTCAGGAAAAAAGGCCTCTTAAGTGATAATACTGTAGGAGGTGAATCGGAACTTTTGCTTGACCTAGGATTAATAGATAATGATTCTCTTGCAAGTCAAGGGAAAAAATAACCAAAACTATTACACATGATCAAACAACAAGTCTTACTATAGATGTGAAAAGTTTTGCAGATAATTATTTGATTTATTTTTAGGCGGGAAATCAGGAACTGAATCAGAGTCTGAAGGAAGATATAAAACAGATAATAGTATAGTCGTAGGGTTATTGAAAGATAGGGTGTTAGTATGTGATAAATCTGAAAATAAGAAGCAATGCGTATAAGAAAAAATTACTAAGAAATAGTGAGTAGATGACACCTGCTTTACATGTATTTTTTTATATTGTATCAATAAAGCAATCAGGTCTAAATGTTCTTTTACGATAATTAATTTTGTATGATGATATTTTTTTTAAATTTACTTTTGAACTTATCTATATTTTATTTAAAAAATGGCAAACATACAGTCTAAGATTGATTCTTTGAAAGAACTAAATTCGAAGCTCTTAGTCAAGATTGTTAATCTTAAAAAGAAGAACGCTAAAATTCCTAAATTTAGAAAGAAATATGCTGAGATTGAGGCTGAAAATTTGAAGTTAAGACAGATCATAGAAGAGAGCATTGAGCTTAAAACCAGGTTTGAAGAGTTAGAGAAAAAAAATAAAATGGATACTGTCAAGCTCACTGCTGAGAATACTGAGCTTAAAGATAGAATCACGAAATTGGAACAGAGGCAGACTCAGGTTATTATTAATAAACTGAGAGCATCTTTTACAAAAGATATTCCGCAACCTATTAATGAGGATGCTAGTTTATACTATGCTATTGCATCAGAAGAAACTATTATTCCTGACCTCTCACCCAAAATAGAATATAATCAGACAAAATCTGAAGAATCAGAAATTCAATACTCTGCATCACCCTCTGCAAACTCTTTACTGGAAGATGATACATCTAAACAAATGCTAGAAGACACATCTGATAAATCTGATATCACTTCAAATTCTAACGTATATTAGAAGTCAAAGACCTATAAATCATTAGAAGACAAGATGATGGATGAAACCTTAGATGAGGCATATAAGAAAAGAGTTAGTGATGAGATAAGACAACGTAACAAAGAGAAAAAAATTCAGTATGAGTCAACTGTCCCTTCTGACTTATCATGTATTACAAAAACTTCTCTAAGAAATCATGATAAAAATGAAAGTAACACAAAAACTGTGAACATTGTTCACGATCAAGAAAAGATTTCATTGGAAGACTCTGTACAAAAAATGCCTGAAAGACTTAATGAGGATGTTTTTCAGAGAGAATTGAATTCAGGCTTAGTAACTGAAATTGTACGAGACTTATTACAAGAATTTCTGGTAGATGATTTTCAGAGGGAATTTATTAATACTGAATTTATTGATAGAAAGCATTCTAATTCTTCATTTATCATAGAAGAGCTTGCCTGTTTATTTCATTAAGCGAGTATAGCAAGGAAAATTCAATTAAAGTTAAGCAGAAAGAGATTTCATCTTGAGTCATTACTCTGAAAGGTTCGAAGATAAGGTTATGAAGCTCAGATCTAAGGATAAAAATCTTAAGGATAAGACAGCAAGATCCCAAATTTATAATGAAATGAAACCATACCTTTCAGGCGTTTCTGATGAATATTTATGCAAGATAACAAGCAAAGCAAGGAAGATCAATAAGCTATTTAGATATGATTATGATCATATAACTCTAAAAAAGATTAAAGGTATAGGATGGTATATGGTTAATTGGGTTACCTATAGTGCTGACAGTATTTCTAGACTCACTAACCTTCAAATTCAATACATTATAGATCGAGTGAACTTAACTGTCACTAATAAAACTGTGAACAATATTTACGATCAGAGTTATGTGACTTTGAAAATGATCACTAGTGATACAACTGCTCTGATTACATTGCTAAGCATGAGTCATATAATTAGCAAAAAAATCGTAAATGCATCTCAAACCATACTAGCTGAAGTACCAATATTCTCTCAACCAAATGCTTCATCAGAAATGATTTCATCAGACATGTTTCAAGCAAGTATATCATCTGTATCCCAATCTAAGCTAGCTTATAATCATTCCTATTTTTGTAATAAGATATTGGATCAATATTCTAATCTATATAGAGAATGTAGTAGTGAAAATTTCGATTATTATGGGATTACTGATGAGACATATGGAAACTATATCTGCCCATTATACAAATTAGGTCATGATGATAAAGAAATAGAAGGTAGGTATAAAGCAGGATCTTACTTTATTAAATGTGAATAACGTGAAATTGAGATAGTTACGTAGTCTTATCGCTTTACAATAGTCTAGGAATTTTAATCTTTTTTTTCGAATAAATAGGTCTATATAAAAAAAAGGAATTTAAATTGTTTGCAGTCATATAAAAAGAAAAATAACTGGGTCTGTTAAAATACTAATAGCTGATTATCTGAATTGGCATGCCAAATTAACTGGATTACTAAGTATTTTGACAGATAAGATTCGTTTTAAATTATACAAAAAATAAAAAAGAAACTGGAAATAAACCATGACAATTATCAGAAGTGCATGCATCAGAAGCCGGTCTTCTCATAAATTCGAAGTCAAAAAACAAAGTATCCTATTTATCTTTTTCTAAACAATGTAAAGAAAAAGGGTTTATCACCTTTAAAGCTAGACCTGGTTCAGAGTTAATTATCAAATCCATGTTAGAGTATTTTACATACTTAAAATTCTGAAATAGTTTTAGAGGAATTGATAATTATAATTTTGTATCTGCTCAGCCATAGAGCTCACCATGCCCTATTTGTGATGGAAAACATAGGAATTATGGATTACATGGCTCATAGTACTGTGAAAATGGGAATTAATTTCCTTATAATTCTGAATTAGTGAAATTGTATTCCCAAGATAAGTTGGAATATTGTCTTACCTGCAACACTTCAAATAATAAACCCAAGTTCGCAATTGTAACATAGACTGGTTATGTGAAACTGATCACCTGAAATGCACAGAAGATATCAGATAAATTCTTGTTAAGATTTTCTTTTTTAAATATCATGCATAGTAAGTAAGTTTCTAAACTTCTCTGCAGTATATGTTATGTGCAATAAGATGTAATTGAAATTAAGTTTATCAGTCATATGATTAACCAGTAGATCCCGCTTCTATTGGTTGGAAGTGTGAAGAGTTTTTATGATTATCATATTATACAGCATGTATTGGCAGATTGTAGAGAAAAAAAGCTAAAATAGAGGAATGTCGTTCGAAAAAATAATCATATATAGTAGTCTATAGTCATAGAATGGCATCATATACTCAGTATCATGTAATTTATTTAGCTTAATGAATTGCAAATAAAAAACATTTAGGGTACTGAGTGATTTGTGAAATATAGTCAATTATTTTTCTCGTGACGATTGGTAATAATTTTTAGACTGTACATACTAATTTTTTATTACTCAAGTGTATATGCATGTTAATACAGGTAATTTAAGAAATCTAAATCAGCAAATTATTGGGCAATAAGATTACCAGCAAAGATCAAGAGACTTTTATTCTCAAACTTTCTCGCATATTCTCAAAATTATTACGTATATTATTATTAAAAAAAGGCCCCTTAATAATCTTTACATATGAATAACATTAAATTCTTTTATTGTTAAATTAAGGGGAGACCGTTGATCAGATTTTTGTGATGTGATCATATTAACGTAATTCCCTCCAAAAGCATATACCAAAATTGATCCTGCAAATTATATAAAAAGGTGACACTCCAGTTAGTAAATATTTTTATCCGCCTTGTGTAAATATAAACAAAAACTAAGCAAAAAATTAAAAGAAAATTCCATTGATATTTACAATCAAATGAACTCGTATATTCTGCAAAGTAATAATAAAGTAGGTTAGTTTATTGTTCAGGTTAGCTTCTTGAAACATGTCATCACATTACTAATCGATTTTTTCAACTCTACAGATGTCAATGAAAATTTCAGTCATTGCTTTGCTTGTTATATATCGGCATTTTAATATTTGCTGAGAAAATCTTTGTCAATCATCATGCGCACAATAGACGCAGTATTACAAAAATAAATTCCAGTGATAAGATATTATCTTATCTAATCAATTTCACGTATATCATCAGTGTAGTAAAATTTATGACATGCTGAATTCTTAATACTTTATGCAGTATCGTACTAATGATAAATAAATTAAGCGTCAAATTTCTTAAAAACAAGGCAAATTGGAATATACTAAAAGTGAGATGTAACGGTAAGTATGAATCAAAAATATTGCATTGATTATTTTTTTTACCTCAGTTGCTAATCTCTCAAATTTATTCTATAAGTTCGAAATTTCTTAATCTTGAGGAAATTCTCCTATGGGAAATATTATTTTATATAATATGTGCGAGTGGGGGTAATATAGATAGGCAAAAATTTGTATAGGATAATTTATTTCAGAAATCTGATGTAGAAAGAGTATTGGTGTAAAAATCTAGTAGTTAGCAATAGTGATAGGAAAAAAACAATTAGTATAGAAATTTACAATAAAGTAAAAATATAATCTTTTCATATGTAAGATTGAAATTTTTTCTTTGCAAAAAATCGTTTCCTTGAAAAAAAATCATATCATAAATAAAAAATAAGTCTAGAATCCTATTCTATATGTTATAACGTAATATCTCAATAAAATTTTTTATTAGTTGTTCTGCAGTGTTGATCATTAGTATTTATCTGTTATAGATTAGATCACCTTTAAGTGCTTTATTACTTTGAAAAAATGACCCAATATTTTGATCAAGTTGAAATTGAGCTATGGTCCCTTGATGGTCTGGCCGAGTGGTGTGCTCTCAATGTTTCATGCGACAAAAAAAGAATTTAAATGGTGTTAAATGGAATAACTTTTGAACTAATGATCAATATTTCGATGGAAATAGTATCATTAGAACCGTCTTGACGAGAG